CCCCCCAAACCCCATCTCCCAACGGACGCCATCTTGGTCCGATTCACTGAGTGTCCCCTCTCATTATGAACACACCCCAGCCCAATCGGCCTTTAGGGAATTCCCAGCGTCTGTCCATACTCTCTAAGCACGAAATGACCACACCACTCTACATATCACATCACGAGCGAAAAGGAAATATGTTACAACGGCAGAAATTGCCATCTCAATTCAAACTGTTTGGGAACAAAACAGCTAGTCTAATTCCTTAGCTAAAGAATTGTCTCGACCAGAGCACCCTGAAAAGAGAACATTTTGTTTGGAGGACAAAAAGTGGGTGGTTGGCGGGTGCTCTGGTGTGGTTTGCTTCTTCTTTCCTATGAGACATCAACCGTCCTTATCTCCCCCCTCTTCTTTTTTATGTTTGTTACTCTCTTGTAACACCTCTAATCTTCTGGCGCTCATATAACCTTATGCAGTTGCGAGCGCCGTAAAACTCTTACAAAAACATACCAAAAACAGGAGGACAAAACCGTCATCAAAACAGGGCTGTAAGCAAAGTGGAAGGAATAACTTCCACACTACAACCAGACTGACCCCTACTTCATTCTCACTCGTCAAGAGTACCGTAAGTTGTTCTGTTCCGACTCATAACTAGAGCTGGGCGAAGAATCGATTCCAGAACCGGTTCCCAAAAGTAATACTACGGAAGAAAAGTTCCGACTTCATTTTACGAAAAACAACGGTTACCAGTAATTTTAATGATTTATATCCTCCTCTTCTTTTCGAATTTATTTTTGAAAAACACAAAACCAGTTGATGCTTCGTTGTGTTCCGAAATCAAGTTTATCCTAATTCCTGAAGATGTTCGGAGCCAATTAGGTAAACACTGAAGGAAGTCATATCATTAGAAAGTAAGTAATTGGGTTCGGAGACGATTCCTACGATTCCTAGCCTTCAATAATCGGGGACCTTGCCACCAGCACTACTCATAACCAACTGTGGTGAACTGTGAAACACCATAATTTCTACACGAAGTTCAGGACCGACAACTCAGAGCTAGCTGCGTCAGTGCGGAGCCAGCAGACCACAAGAAACCATTACTGTACTACATGAACAAGCTTGTCCAATGTCGAGGCAGTTCGAAGGAAACATTTTAGCCCAACTCAAAACAGAGAGACCACCCACCCCCACCCCCACCCCGGAAATAATGTCAAGCTGAGCCGCGGCTGTTCCACTGACTGTAGTGTCTTTAAGCCATTCCCAAAGGGAGGACATTTCTCGTTCAAGCACAGTAGAATTGTAAATGGGCTGATTCATCATGTTACGCTCATAACTGTGCCTGATCTACAACAGGGAACTGCTGCTTTTTCTTTCCTAATCCTTACTATTGTCTTTTTCTTCTCCTTCTTTTGTATGTTTGTCACTCTCTTGTGACCCGCTATTTCCGGGGTGCCTTGATAGTCGAAGCAGACCT